GTCAATTTAAATCCATACAACTATTTTTTAAATCAATAAAATCATTTTCTAAATCCATAAAAGCAATTCAATTAAAATTGGGAGTCATGTCGTTACTTTGTTGAGAATGTGGCCATGTAATAAGCGGGATAATGTGCACATTGCATAGTGTGCCTTAATGNCTGGTGGAACAAAGACAACAACACGTGCACAGGTAACTCGTTCAATGGAGGTAACTGTTTATTAACTGTTGCTGCTTACAAAATAAAGAGTGTATGGAACATTCACTCGAAAGGCCCGGACACACCAACGTTCCATACACTCTTTATTTTGTAAGCAGCAACAGTTAATAAACAGTTACCTCCATTGAACGAGTTACCTGTGCACGTGTTGTTGTCTTTGTTCCACCAGCAGAGTTTTTATTCTAAGGGAGGGGGCAAATATGTTCCTATGTTGCCCAACCTCACACGCCAGATATTGGTGTTATCAACATACACTCAAGTATTAAGATATTTTTAAATAGTCTCTCTAAAATACATTCACTAATGTGAGTCAGTTAGAAAGTGGTTATTGTTTAAAGGGCTCTATTCTGCTGTTTGGTGTGTTCCCTGTCCTGTAGTGGGTTTTATAGGTTTTTTAGTGCATATAAATGGTCTGCAAAAACTAAAATCCCAAAGCCTGGCCTACTCATCGAGCAGATCATCTCGACACACGACTGTTCGTTAAACCGCCCTGAGGGTTTGTCTGATCTGCCTCATATGAGATACGCTGAGGAGGCTGAGACTGTGAGAAACATCATCATGTAGGCCTGGGTCCTGAATTATGGATGCACAACAACTACAAGAAGGGACGAGCTTAGGAAGTCAAAGGAGAGAATACGAGTGCACCATGTGATTCATGTGTGTCTGCTGTGGGGAAGAACATCTCCATACTTCACCTGTGATCTTTTTTTCTTTGCTGGCTTTATAAATGTGGACAACAATGAAACATGTATTCCTTATTAACAAGGTTATAATTTCAATTTAAAAAATGAAAGTGAAGTTCGATGGCTGCTCACACTCATCCTCCGGTCCCACACATATGAATAAATCCCCAAAAGTGCGATTGTATACAAATCATTTAGATAAATACAATTTAATGCAATACATTCATGACTTGTTAGGAGTACACATCTATCAATCAAGAAACGTTTCAAACCCCAAACAACTCAGTAAACACTAGATCTTATTTGATCATTTTACAGTAATAAACATAACGTTAACATTTCTCCTTTTGATAATATATGCGTTGAAAGCATAGGCATCATGGGACAGCATGTTCTCCTTTCCTTTCCAAAAGCTAAAGGAGATCATGAAGAAGATATTGAAGCTCCTTTCCTATAGATAATTCCAACGGCTCTTATCATAGCTGCCAGTGAGGCACTTCCAGCTCATTTCAGTCTGTCAGGAACCTTCCGAAGCTAAACTGAACACCCGACCACAATAGGGTCGGGGTCCGGCGAGGCACATCCAGACCTACTGGTTCGGAGTGCTGACTGGGCGTGAGACAACACATGGAGCAGTATTACTTTCGTACAGTTTTCTAAATTACCAAAATAACTGAAATAGTTCCAGGAAAACAGACCGTTTTAAAAGAAGAGAGATGAAAACAAAAGTCCCACTGCGAGACATTTCTGCATTTTGGCTTCAAAGCCTCTCACTGTAAGCAACTTGTTTTCCATGCCACACGATCTGACTCGTTTAGCTTCTCTTTGAACACAAATTATGCTTAGTTATTATGTTATGAGGGTTTTATTCTTGCTTTTCTGGCAAATGGTTTAGTTTTTGTGTTAGAGGGGCAGCAAACTGCACATCACAGGAGGATACGACAAGTGATGAGGACTGTTCGTAATCAGATTGTGTTTAGTACAGAGAAGAAGAGGATTTGAGCATTTGAGTAGTTAGTCTGTTTTTTTTGTAACAGTTTTATTGAAATGATTCTATGTTTATATCTCTCTGTTAATACCAGGTTAAAGTATAATTCCGAGCAATAATGTTTAGTGATTTTGTCGAGGTAAATACAATGTCTGTCATTATTAACTTGAATGTTGAGCAGCAGCATCCAAACATACGCAGATAATATAATAATACAATGCCCTATAATCCTCATTATTTTATATTTGTCTTCATCTCAATTTTGAGAAAGAGCATCGTTTTTAGAAAGAAAAAGCAATTGTTATTAACCATGTGGTTTTCTCATTTGACCTTCAATTCCATCAGCATCATGTCCTTTTGTTTTTAAATGTTGCTTTATTTGTTGTGCATACGTTTTTAATCCTGTTATGTTTTTTTTTTCTGCAATTAGAGACTGGATTGAGAAATGTCCAGTTAGAGTGGCTTGCTGTATGGAAAGAGAGGTGAACCAGAACACAAATGGAGTCATTAGTAAATCCTTTTGGAAGAATAGAAGTGCAACAATACAAATGTAATAATGAAAACACTCACTGTTTGTCTTCTGGAATCCTTCTTTTATAAAGAATCCAGCCTATGTTCCTGGTAATACAGAGTGTGCCATGGTCATACTGCTGTCCTGATCTGTTGTTTAGACACAGCTTCACTTTCTGACAATATGATTCAGCATCAAATAGCCCTTTAATTTCACGAGGTGATTAAAGTTTTTTTTGTCGGGGAAGGATGGTAGGATTTGGCTAATAAAACTGTCAGATGTAGTGTTTGTGCATCCATCATTTAGGATTTAGGACAAACTAACATCCTGCAGCACGGCGGGGATAACAATACAGCGAACCATTTAGAGTTTGGATGTTTAAAGCAGCGAGTGCTCACAGCTTTATGATCCCGCAGAGATCCTCAACCCGAGGGGGCCGTTTCAAAACAAAGGCATCTCTCATAAATCCAACAAAACTTTAATGAACTACTGTACTTTATTTATCTGATAAGCACATCATTTGTTTGCCTAACAAAGACTAGATTAGCAATATCAGCTTTTGGTTTCATAAAAACTCAAACGTAACCGTATGTTACAGCAGCATGTAAACAGGGCATTGCAAATCATGTGAAAATAAAAAAGAGTAGAAAATGAATGTCAAAAAAATAAACTAAAAATGAATAAGAAAATAAAACAACCAATATTAAAAAGATATATTGAGAGTGAAAGATATAAATCTGTGGACTATAACGAGTGGATTGGTACAGTAGGTGATGTTTAGTACATTTAGTTAATCTCAGATTTATAAAACATGCTGCTGGTGAAGTATTTTACTAAAATAAAAGATTTGAATAATGTCATTGAAACTAGACATTGAACACATAACTAACTTACACAATATTTAGAGTGAACCCTAAAACAAGTCAACAGGACTAAAACAGTTTGACTGCTTGTATATGAGCCTCAATCATTCTCATCAGCACTCAAATCTGCTGTTCTGATTGGAGGTCAGTCTCGGCCTGGCGGTTATTGAGGCTTTGACACATCAAGAGCATTATGGTCCATTAGGGTGTGTCCCGCACTGCCAACAGGCAGCTGACCCGACATGTTGAATCAGGAAAAGTTTTCGCTCTGATTGACTGTTCAGTTTAAAATATTCAGCACATAGAGGAGAATCGGACTAAGGAGGAAAACAAATTACTAAAGTGTTTTACTTTTCCGTCTTCTTCTTATCTGATCTTTCCACTACACGGATATTTCCACAACAACATGGCTATCTGAAATTAATCATTGAGTGAAGGTATAGAAATGGTTGGTAAAATTGTGCTTTGATTCCATTTCTGTCTCAAAATGATGTATTGTAAATACAGTACGTTTTCCGGTTTCCCTTTTGAAAAACACAATAACGCCTGCTGTTATGGAGAGTTACATTAATTCCTGTCACGCATACGCAGAAAATACGTGCTAGTTTGCGTTTTGCTCGTTTAAAGTGCAATCTTTTGGACCTGACAGACACAAAAATCTCAGCCAGGACTTTTCCATAAATTGTAATTATGATTACCCAAAGAGCTTTTGGCTCAGGGAGAACATCTGGTTGAACCTAGTATGAAAACATTACTTAAACACTGAATAATAACTCTTAATAGTTTGGCATGAAAGTAGAAAGAAACAGGAACACTCACCTCCAAACTTTCAATCTTCTATCCCTTGCATATGTTTTCTTGTTTTCTTGTTCCCTAAATCTAATTTAATTTCAAGGTTCCCTTGACTAAAGTAAATGACAAGATCCAAATTAAAATACCGTTAATGTTTCAGCCGATAAACACAATGTTTTTCTCGACAACAACAAATATTTGACTAAATGTCTGGCCAGTGGGTTTGAAACTGCACATAAGCCTTAACGTCATTACTTATTCAGGAACTTCATTGGTGTGTTAATAATTGATCACCTAATTAAGGGGGGAAGTTGGGGAGATACGGACTGAATGCATCTTTACCAGTGGGCTTTTGGTAAGTGCATGGTTTGGTGGAGCGCGACAGAGAGGCGCCGATGAGAGTAACTTCTGACCAGAGCGTAAAATTATATTCCGTATAAATTGACTGAAGAGCAGACGGAGCAGTTCCTGCTAACAGCTCTGGCTTACCGGCAGGTGTGGTTCTCACACTAAGAGCTCAGATTCATCACAACGTCTCCCTGTGAACTCATCAACACTTTGACTTGTTTTCTTGTGCATGCTTTTCTGTTCATTTAAATATATAATTTGACTATTTCCTTGTTTCTTTACCTTGTTGTAAGGGAGGGAAAATATCAGATAACATTCGGACCTCATTAAAACCATGTTGCTGTTCTGTTCCTTATTTTTTTCTATATTCTATATCATTCCATATTTGTTTTGTTTTCAACAAAGTGCAAAAATCCTTAAGCTAATGGGCTTGTGCTCTCACAGACTAAAACTATTCAATTACAACACATTTTTGTTCAGATTTATTTAAAACAAGACCAATAAAGAATTCACCCAGCATTATATTTGTATTGCATTTTTAGTACTTAAGTTATTTATTTTTTTACAATTAGGCCCTATATACGGTTTTTTAAACCTTACCTCAGTAAATAAAATGCACTATCAGAGACATTGTCAGGGTTGAGCGAAGCAGGCAGGACCCAAACGCAGATTTATTTAAAGGCTACATGAAAAACACAGAGCTCTTCCCCGTGAACACAGTCAAAAACAAACAAGGATCTCACAAAGACTAACAGGAAAAAACGAACCTAAATGCA